ATGAGAAACACCATTGGTAAGCAACCATTCTAACCCTGTACGCAATACCATCGGGCTTTTTAGCCCCCTCTAGCTAAAGAGTGTTGCCTAATATACCTAAGCTTACCTAACCGTCGGGTGTTCGGGTTCAACGTTAAATCCTGTCCTAATTTTCTTCTTTCATTCCCCTAGTTATAAATGNACTATGGCTAGGATTTCAGCCATTTTGAATGAAAACTCTATAGTTTGTCTGCCTTCTATATTTGATTGTTTGCGATAGCAGAAACCAATATGCCCCTCAGATAACTCGTACGTGATGCTTCTCTTTAAACCAGATTTCCACAATGGAGCATTCGGTCACCTGATTCTAAGGTTTATGTCATGCCAGGTGTCTTTGATGAATTTTTTTCCATAGCCGTTATTTTGCTAATCTCAGAAATTAGCCAATAAAACAAATAATTTACCTATATTATGCAATATTGCTATATATATATGAGTGAGTATGTCTCCCTAGCTGACAGTTGCCATATATTTTAATCCCATGTGACTCGGGTATATCACTTGACTTACGATCACTTCTACCTCACCAAGAATGTTTTTCTTTCGCAATTCATCGTTTAATACCGATTACCTTTCATATTTTTCATCTTTATTCATCCCTACACATATCTACGCTTATGTTGTCATTCTACGGAAATCTATCACTCTGGGTTTATTAGTGACCTTGGAGTTGAAAGTGGGTTGAGCTACAACATGAAATGGAGCGTTAAAACAACAACTTATTCCACCCAACAATTCCTTATTATACTTTGCTTTCACAAACATCATGACCATTTTCCCAGATCTTGTTGTGTGTTAAATGAGGCCATTGTTATTGTACCTTGCCTGGCATGATCGTGCACACATGCATGTCTCTCGTTGTAATCCGAGAAATATACCATTATTATTATTATAGAACAAATCCAATAATAGATACTTCTTTTTAAAGTTATTAGGAAGTAAAAGTGAGTTCCTGCTTATCTCGTTTCAGGCCAACAATAACATCGAAGAATGAAAGCAAAGCGGAAATAGGACAAATATCACATGGAATAGAGGTTAGAGCACAATTGTGTCCATATACAAGGAGACCGTCTGGAGTCTTCACAATATGAGAGGTTTACTCAACCAACCATCACGGCCCCAATAATTGCTCCTTGGAACTCGGAAACGATATTTGTTTCAAATATACACTTTTTAAAAATTAGTCAATAACAAAATAGCAGATGGTATTTTTGCGTGATCCGACGCCGTATCGAATAAAACGGGACTATTAAACAGGTTCAACTCTACCTATGCGAACAAAGCGTTCACTATTTAAATGGAGTGTAACAACAAATTGTCGTTTCTGGGTGTTTATATCAACCATCGAACAGATGGTTCGGTGCATAGACAGATTACATGGAAAGATTACTACATCCATTTCCGAGCATTTTACCGCTTAGGGTAATAAGCACTTGATTCGCTGTCTGTCAAACAGGGCAAGAAAGATCTTCTGAGTGAGGCCACCCTAAAGGAAGATCTCCGTGTTATAAGACCGATCACTGTATGCCAACAAAATGATTCTGTTCAAAACACCGAGGTTAAGAAAAAATCTGTATATACTTCTTTACCGTTCAGAGTGGACATATCAGCTGAGATCATACAAAGAAGATTATCCGACGCAATTCCTAAGGTTTTCTATGCATTAAAACTTAGCGTGTTATTCACGTCCAGGCCAGTTGCGCGTTTGAGATTGAAAGACTACTTTTCCCACTCTAAAATTTCATTTTGTATTTACTCGTTTACTTGTTCCTGTGGGACAATGTAAATAGACCGCACGGTTAGGTGATTATCCGTGGCTGAACACCAGAACGATGAAGTCACCCACTAGTGCAGTAGTTTCACATGTAGCTGAGAAAATCACACTGTGAATGTGGTTGAGGCTTCCCGTTCCACAAGTAGGGTTCGCGGTCGAATATCAAAGCAGGTTCGATGTCGAATGCTGGCCGTAGCAGAAATCGTTTACACAACACCTCTCTGTGTGTCCAAAAACAATTTGTGCATCCTCTAATCTTCCCTGAGACCCCCCTACACACACACACCTCATCCAGAATAGTCTCGATTATCGGAGGAATTAACAAAAGCTACTCGATTGTAGTGAATCTGATTTCCGGTTTCATGATCAAATCATTTCTAGTAATGTGTGATGGGATGTGATTGTACCTTAAATTCCCAAGACAATTTTTCCACAACCAGTGAGATATATTTTGCTGTAGTAGTATCGGAAGGAATGCAAATCACTGAAAACGAAATCGCTCGTCACTATCTGTGGTTTAGTTTGAAATAAAAGATTTATTGGTTTATTTACAGGATACTTTCGTTGCCACTGTACCTCAATGTTCATGTAGGTGACCAAACGTAAATACGATATATATTTATATTTATATATAATTCATGTACACTGGAATCAATTACCAGAGTAAAGTTGCCATCTTTTTTCGGGGATAAGGGGATTCCAACGCTTGGCTCAACTGTTTCAATGGCCGTGTGCATCGGAACACTACTAGCCCTGTATATCATCCGTAACACCTATTATCTGTCTGCATAATTTTGTCATCACTAAATACCTAGAAATGAAAAAATGGAAGTCCTGTGTTAACAATGCCTGGTTTTCAATCGTCTAACAAAGTTTGGCATTTATCATCATTATCATTGTAGTAAATATTCGGTCGGCCTTAATCGACCTCCCCGAAATATGTTCACAGAGTTCCTGTTGGTTTAGCTACAATTCGCCCCTCTAAGTCCAATTCGTTACTTGGTTTGCTTTGCGTTCCAACGGATACATGATGCAGAATCAACAACCAAGATTCGTGAGATACGGTTCTTTAATACATGGTCAATCATCTCTAACGAAATAATAACGTACAACCAATGTTTGCTGGTAAGCCAGTCTAAGACGTAAGCGTATTGTGTGATCTGCTCAAACTGTCCTTTTGAATCTTCGAATGTGCGCCTCGGACTGCGTTTGTATAAAACAGTGATATAACAAGTGGCAGTGCTCTTATGTTAAGTTACATTTGATACCAAGTATGAGATAAAGGAAGATGTAGAATGGTGGATGACGGATGGAATGTGATACATTGGTAGAACGATTAACCACGTTAAGAAATTGAAGTGCAATAATGTTAATTAAATGGTCACACTACTGAAAGGGTAAATCAGTAGGCAAATAGTCTCAATAAATATTTCATGTTATTAACGTACAATCATCATCAACATAATGATCATTATTTTATAT